ATGACCATTAGAAAATACACACAGGATGCCGAAAAACAGTGCTTAGTCACATGGGTAAGATTGTTTTCATCAAGGAGGTTCACTAAGGAACCGCCAAACCACATCACAAAATCAGGTAGGTTTAAACCTATACCATAAAGCGATAAGTATATTCAACCAATCGACAGATAAACTATGTATTAACGAAGTCAAGCGATGGCACCTGAAACGAACGCCAGCCGCTGACCCCGAGACCCATGGCCGCGGTCGGAAGAGGGCGCACGCCGGCTTTGCAAACGCTAAGGATTGCGACAGAAAATCCGAAAAATTGTCAGATACAAAATCCCCTTTCTAACTTCCTCTAACCCTAAACCTCGTCCTTACCCATTCCAGTACCATCCTAGTTACTCCCCTTCCACAGCACCCGCCTCCTTCCCTCAACCCCTCTGCTGGAACCCTACAATTTAAGCACATTATAATGCAGGGCTCACTATAATGGACTGTGTAATTTGGTAATGCAGATACAGTTCAAACATTTATGCATGAGTATGAGCGTGTATGCTAGGAAGTGCGCACGTACATATGTGTGTGTGCAAGAGAAGCAATACACATGCGCGTTTAAATTTATGTATGGGGCACATATGCGAGCAGGCGTATGGAGGTATGTGTGTATGTGCCTGTGTACATGTATATGGTTTTGTTTGTGTATGTGCAGTTATATGTATGCGTATAGTTATTTGTGAGTACAAGATGCATGTGTTCCCTTGTTTGTACTTTATGGTATATATGTGTAAAAGTATATAGATATATATACTTCTATGCATGTGTATATATACACATATGTATGTGCATAAGTGCATCTATATGAAATACATGTACAGGTGTATAATTATACGTGGGTGTACATATAAACATAAGTGTGCGTGTTCATATGTATAGTTGTATATTTGTGCATAGTAATACATACGTGTACAAGGTGTGTATAAATGTGGGTTCGCATCTAGGTAGGTGTGTATGCATATATGTATGCACGTGGAGGTACATATGACGTGCGCATGTCTATGAAAGTGTACGTGTATGTATATATATACTATATATGTGTGTACGTGTCCACGTGTGTGTATGTAGATATCTGTGTATAGGTGCATGGTTATATTTGTGTATATACAGTTATATGTATGCATATAGTTATATGTAAGAGTACAAGATGTATATGATATATACATATACATATATATGTGAGAATATATGTATACATATATACCCATACACGTGCCTGTGTGTCTTTGTATGAATAGGTATACATATATGTATACATATATATATATATATACATATATACACATTTGTTCGTTTCTGTCCGTCTATGAATATATACACATTGTGTGTGTGAGATATATAATATACATTATATAAGTATACATATATGTATATATATTAAATATATATATTCTGTATATATGTATATATATATATATATATATATATATATATATATATATATATATATATATATATTAAATATATATATTCTGTATAAATGTATATATATATATTAAATATATATAAATGTATATATATATATATTAAATATATATATTGTGTATAAATGTATATATATATATATATATATATATTAAATATATATATTGTGTATAAATGTATATATATATATATATTAAATATATATATTCTGTATATATATGTATATATATTATATATATGCGTGTGTGTGTATGTATAAATATGTGTATACATACACACATAACTATCTATATATATTGTTAGCAAGATAGATATAGTATGCATTGTATATATATGATATATATGTATAATATATATATTATATATATATATATATATATATATATATATATATATATACATACATATGTATGTATACACTTAATTATAACCTGCGTATTTGCATGCCTGAATATATTAATCAAAACGAAATAACTAAAATCATTATCCCATAACCTTACCTTATTTCTTCACACACTCTGTCACGGTAAATTCGTCTCAGCTGAGTGACCGCGCGTGCCTTTTCTTGGGCGTCAGCCAATCTCAGCCAACTGACCAATCTCGCACTTTAGGCTCTTTTCGGAATTTCATTTCTGTTACTTAGTATATATATAAGTGTGTTAAATATACATATATATATATATATATATATATATATATATATATATGTATATGTATATATATATGTGTGTGTGCATATATTTTTTGTATATATGAGTGTGTATGTATATATGGGTATATATATGTGTGTGTGTGTGTGTCTGTGTATGTATATGACTTATCCATTTATTCATATATATGTAGACACACAAAGAAACACACTCAGACACGTACATATATATATATTATTTATGCATGTATTCATACACACATACGGAAACAAACACACACACACACACACATATATATATATATATATTGACATATACAATTGTGTATGTATATACATGTGTATATATATATATAAACATTAGTAAATATATATGCACCAATATATATATACATATATATGTGTACACATATATATACATGCATATATATATATATATATATATATATATATATATATATATATATATATTAATGTATATACATACATATAAATATATAAAAATATACATTTATACAAATATATACTTTTATAAATACAAATATATATTTATATATATACGTATATAAACATAGATATGCATCTATATGTGATTATATATATAGAGAGAATTTATTCATATATTTATACACACACATATATATGTATATATATTCACATATACATACATATATGCATACATATACATACGTATATACGCAAATATATACAGATGTATACATATGTACATCTGTATATATTTGCGTATATACACAAATATATACATGTGTATACATATAAACATATATATAAATATAAATATTTACACACACACATCTATATATACATATGTATATAGACACATATAAACATATATATTAAATATATGCACATAATTACATTGCTGTATATTTACCCGCAAAAAATACAACAACAAACTGCCAAAGTCTCCTATGATCTCACCCAAAGTGTTCACACACTCTCCTCACAGGTAAACTCCCCGAAGCTGAGCGGCAACTACGACTCTTCGCTTCATGGAACGCTCGACTGAACGAGAGGCGAAAGTAAAGTAATGAAACTGACGCTTCCCTGAGTCTTGGGGATTGGGAAGAGTTACCCCAGGGGTTTCCAAAGTAGTTAAAGTGGGTTGCCTAGGCAAATTAGGGGACCGATATACGCCTTGAGATTTTAAAAGGACTGTTAAATGCTTGTTTAAGAAATGAAATAGAAGAAAGGATCAGCAGTTTCGGAAGGTTTAGTTTCCTTACTGATGTGTGTGGGAAGCAGGGTTTAGTATATAGTTCCTGGCACAAACGTATAAGAAAACTTCATTTTTACTCAAGTATCCTTAATATATATGTGTGTGTGTGTGCATGTATGTATGTGTACATACTGAAGTTTGGGAATTCTTCATTATGATTCTGTAAATACCATGATGTAAAATAAATTCTCCTTTACAGATTTATGCTGTACATAACATTTCTAATGTGTAGTACTTTAGAGAATAATAACCTTTTATGGCCTGTATTTAATTCCACATGGAATTTTTGTTCAGGTAAGCACATGTCTGCAGTGAACAGGGCTGGTCAAAAGACAGCTACTGGTCATGGCATTCGAGAAAACTACTCCTGCACCTACTCAGTATGACAACTGATTTGGAAGACGTTTGGCTATTTGAAAAGGGATTTAGCTTCAACTATGATCCTCCTATTTCAATTAAAAAAAGGAAATTTATGCATACTGTTTGAAAAAGATGCATGGATATTTCATTTTGATGATTTGAAAGACGGACACACGCATGTCTATATTTAAATCTATGTATATATATATATAATTATATATATGTATACATATATACATGTATACGTATATGAATACATGCATTTATATATATATATATATATATACATATTCATACATTCATATATGCATACACATATACATACATGCATACATATTTGTATATATATATAATTCACACACACATTATATATATATTCATAAGTGTGTATGCATGTTTCTTTTTTATTATTGTACCTTTTCATATAACTATCGATTTATCTATGTCTATATTCCTTCCCCTAAATCTTTCTATATCATTTCCAATTTTTATGATCTTCATCATTATCATTATTGTTATTGATATATTTTTCACTATCATTATCAACATTACCATGTAAACTGGTAAAAAGGTAAAGACAAAGTAAAATGGTCCTGAAGATATGGGCGAGATTGTCTCTCTCCCAGGAAGTACGGATGCTCTAGCTGAGAGAGAGAGAAAAAAAACAATAACGCAGTTTAAAACTTTAGATGGTATACTGGAGGTACGGATTTTCAAGCAGTGTCCCTTCTATGTGAAGTGGTCCTTTAATGCTCTGACACATTGATTTCACAAAGTGCTGCTTTGGGACCTTGTGAAAGAGAGTGCACCCTGCAGATGGTAATGCATGTCACACTCCTAAGTCCAAAGGAGACCAAGTGTGTCCTACACACAACCATAAAAATAATACTTAAATTTGGGAAAACATCAAATCTGAAGCGAAGCGAGGTAAATCCACAAAGCGAGCACTAATAACACCGAGAGCTGTATACCATAGAAGTCAGGACCGAACTATCTTCTCACAAAGCCATGGATAATTATACCCAAAAGAGGCCCCAAGGCCATACCTTAAGTATGGCGCGAAAAGAAAATACGGAAGACCAACCAGATAGTTCGGTAGTCCAAACAAGCCAAAGGACTCGAATAACCATGAAAAGAGAGAGGAAGAAAATAATATATAACGATCGTTACTCTCTTTAGGGGTTATATTGACACTTTGGAAGCGTCGCCGAAGAGATAGAATAAATGAAAAACATAAATAAAGGAAAGGATACCTAGGAAATTGGCAATACACAGTTTAAGCGAAAACTATGCATTTCTGGATATACATATTTACGGCATTTGACTAAATAAATAAATCTTTATTTTTCTTGTTGACTTGAACACCATCCAAGTACCGAAACATGGTTTAATATACTTTGGCCATAAAAACAACCATGTTCACATTTATTTGTTAACACTGTCTCTGGCGGCTCGCATGGCATTGGACATGGCTTATGAAGTCGCACTCGAGTCAAGTGGGCGAGGCGCGAATGGCGGGTGAAACACCAGCCTCGTGCGCGTGCACAGTGAGTGCGCCCGCTTCGTTGGTGGAAGCGGAGCCCTGGACATTTCATCCAAGTCAAAGGCAGCATCGCAGAGTTGCCCCTTTCCTTTGCTCCGTGGTAGAGGAGGCAGGCAATGCGGTATAGTAAAGACCCGGCCTCAACCACTTGGGGCCTACTACAATAACAATAAGAATAAGAAAGCTGATAGTAATAGTAATAATAATAATAGTATTAATGATGATAATAAAGATAATAATATTGATATCAGTAATGATAGTACTAATTATTGTTACGATAATGATATTGATAATAGTAATAATGAGAATAAGGAGAAAAAAAATAGATATAATAATATTGATGTTGATGATAATGATAAAAACAATAATGATAATAACAATACAAAAACATGAATAATAATATTTCTTATTATGATGATAATATCCATAATGAGGATGAGGAAGATAATAATAATAATGATAATGATAATATAATAATGATAATAATAATAATGATATAATAATAATGATAATGATAATATTGAAAATTATAATGATAGTTATGACATTGATAATACTAATGATGATAATCATAAAAATGGCCATATAGTGATAAAATGACATTATTATTAATAATAAAAATAATAGTTATGAAAATAGTAAGAACAATAATACGAATATGAGTAATAACAATAACAACAATCATTATGATAACAATAATAATAATAACAATGGTAGTAATAGTATTAATATTAACAATAATAATAATAATTACAATAACAATAATAATGATGATGATCATAATTGTAATAATATTCATAATAATAATGATAATAAGAATGATAACAGTAATAATAATGATAATAATTATTATTATTATTTTAATGATAATAATAATAACAATAACAATGATATAAAAACTATAACAATAATAATAATAATAATAATAATAGTAATAATAATTATAATGATAATAACAATAATGGCAATCATAATACAATGATAAATATTGTAATAATAATGACAATAATAATAATGATATAAACCGATATTAGTGACAAGTATGATAATAAGGATGTTGATAATGATAGTGATTATAATCATAACAGTAATCATGATGTTGATGACTCCAATTATATATATATGTATATATATATATATATACATATATATATAATTGAGTCGAGGGCAGGAGTCATCAACATCATGATTACTGTTACGATTATAATCACTATCATTATCAACATCCTTATTATCATTTTTGTCACTAATATCGTTTTATATTATTATTATTATTACTATATTTATCATTATATTATCATTCTCATTATTCACCAGAATGTTTGCCAGTTTACTTTATATTTATAAAATACTTTATTTATAAAGTGTTGTTTTACTTAGTATCTGAGAGAGTTGCCACGTTCGTTTTCTGTCTGTTTTCCCTAATAGCCCTGTTATAAAACCATGCATAAACTTGGATTTACATTTCAAAAGAAAAATAGTTGCTCTACAACCTTTGTTTGGATGTCACCAATTCTGCTGAAATTGTATTTGATTTTTTTTCGTATATAATAATTTTACAAAATATCCTAATATATATATATATATATATATATATATATATATATATATATATATATAATATATGCATATATATTATATATATATATATATACACAAATATACATCAATTTATAAATATATATATATTTATATATAATATATATATACACAAATATATATAAATTTATAGATATACATATATATATATATATATATACACAAATATATATAAATTTATAGATATACATATATATATACATATATTTATAAATATATATATATATATATAATATATGCATATATATTTGTATATATATAAATATACATATATATACACATATATGTGTGTGTGTGTGCGAATGTCAGTTTTTGGCCTCAAAACTCAAACGGCTCCGACGTTTATCATCCTTTTTTAAACTGTAAGGCATGCATCGATCCCTTCGATAGTCCCATCGAACCCCAAGGAACAACAACGACCACTTAGCTGACACCTGGGCTAGCCTTCCCTCATCTCCATGACCCGGGAAAGAAGCAGGAGTTCCCTCAATCTGCCCTCGCTTCTGATCAGTCGAGTAGGTGTTCCCTTGAGCGGAGTCTCTCTGGTTAACGCCCGAGGAAAGGCACGCGTGGTCACTCAACTGAAACAAATCTACCGGGACAGAGTGTGTGAATAAATAAGGTAAGATTATGGGATAATTATTT